TGAGGAAGGGTCACCGGACCCGAAACATTAACTCTGTTTTCTCCTCCCCAGATGCTGCCAGACCTGCTGAGCTTTTCCAGCAACTTTGTTTGTGTTCCTGATTTACAGCATCCACAGTTCTTTTGGTTTTTATTCACATTGAGGATATCCTCCACCAATGTGTGTGACAATAATATCGCGCTACATTGGACAAACTCCAAACAGATCAAGTATCACCAGGCTGGGCATCCATGAGGTGCTGTGGTCCTTCAGTAACAGGAGAATTCTTTTTAAATACAAATTGCAACCTCAAGCTGATATATTCCCCCACCGCACCATTACCATCAAGTTAAGAGCTCAAGCCTGCTTCAATTAACAGTGCAAGAGGGCATGCCAGGGTCAGCATCAAGCATATCTAAAAATCATGTGTCCAGCTGGTGAAGCTACAACATAGGACTAGGCTTGCCAACTAGCACAAGTAGCCAAGTCATAGATAGGGCTAACAATTCCACAACATCAGATCTACACTGTAGTCCTGCCACATCCAGTCATGAATGTTGGTGGACAATGAAGCAACGCACAGGAGGAGGAGGAGGAGGACACTGCACAAATAATGCCATCTTCGACGATAGGGGAATCCAGTGCATCAATGCAAGAGACACGGCTGAAGCATTTGCAACAATTTTCAGCCAAAAGAGCAAGTGTAAAGCCATCTCAGCCCCCTCCTGCTCTACCCAGCATCACAGGCCAGTCTTCAGCTAATTCAATACACTTGTGATATAAAGAAACTGCTAAAAGTGCTCCAGAACAAGTCACAGCCCTAGCTAAGTTGTTCTAGTACAGTTCCAACAACTGCATCTTTGTGGCAATGAGAAAAATTTTCCAGTTTGCCCTGACCACTTCCAGCAGGACATATACAACCCAGTCAACTACCATTCCGTCAGTATACTGATGATCAGAAAAGTGATGGAAAGTGTCACTGACAGTGCTATGGTCAGGAACATCCTGCTGACTCATTCTCAGTGTGGGTTCTGTAACTGACATTACTATAGTCTTAGTCCAATCACGGAGAAACAAGCTGAATTCCAGAGGGGAAGTGAGATTGACTGCTCTTGACATTAGGGCAGTATTTGACTAATTACAGCATCAAGGGTCCCCCTTAAAACTTGATTCAATGGGAATCAGGTGGAAAACTCTGCTGATTGTACTTACATCTATCATTGAGGAATTTCATTATTATTCCTGCTTGAGTACTTTTATCTAAGGAATTATGGACACTGTTTCAATTGAAAGAAAATGAAGAGAAACCGCAACTGTTTTATTTGAAAAGGAGTCACTAAAAGGACTCAAACCACCTTTCAAGACAATTCTTATAAGTTTATGGCTTAAGTTAATTACAGGTAGTTCTCCCATAACACGACAGTTGCATCCTTGCACTATAGAAAATCGTGTTATAGGGAAATTGCTGTAGAAAATCACTGTACTATACAGTAGAAAGTTCATGTTATCCAAACAGCGTCCGTTGTTCAATCTCGTTACAGCCAATTTGTCTTAATGAAACACAGATTATAGCAGAAACACATGTAGTTGGATTTGCTCATTGGAAATCACTCACAGAGCATACACTTGTCAGCATTGTATTTTTGGATATTGTTTGACGTTCAGTTGGGGTGCAGCCGGATGAGAGAAAGAAACTCCCAAGTATCTGCTGTCCTTCTGAGAAAAGACTTTATGGAGGGTCCAGTGCGTTAACAGGAACACTGATCCAGACTGGCCTCCTCAAAATGTCTCTGAAATCTCAACAATTTGTTAATAAACTGCATTTGATGTTGAGGTTTGTTGTTTTGCATCCCATTTTCTTGCCAATTTCAGCGTGTTGCGCCCATAGGTCTCTAAGGTTTTGGAGTAGATCTGTACCTCGGGTTGTGGGTGTTGAGGTTGGTTGGCTCACCGAGCTGGTTTGTTGTTTTGCATTTGAAGAGCACACTGACACCCATCGACACGCGCCAGAATGCCGACTGGTAACCAGCTTGAACACGTCATCCTTTATTCATTTTCCTTCAAGAGCTAACAATCATTGGTGAAAAGCAGATTCTTTTCAGGAAATAAATGCATGCAGAGCAGGCTTTTCTTTCTTTTAATTGGTGTGCACGCACAGTTGTTATTTCGAACAATAAACATCAAACTTTGCAACTTCAATCTGTGTGTTAATCAGATTTGCATCTTTCCAGAATAACTTTGGGTTTCACGATAAATCAATAATTTTATTTGTAATAAAGAAGCCTGGTGGATGGATATATTTACCTAACATTTAGAATAAACCTAAGCATATAATAGGTTAAAAAAAACGAAAGAATTGTGCATGCTGGAAATCATAAATAAAACCAGAAAATGCCGGAAAAACTCAGCAGGGTCAAAGGACCTGAAACATTTACAGTGCTTTCTCTCCACAGATGCTGCCAGATCTGCTGAGTTTTTCCAGCAATTTTTGTTTTTGTAAGTAGTTGGTCATATTAGTAACTTATCCAGCCTCGGTTGTAACATCAAGAAAGATGATTGCAGTTGTTAGAGGTCAATTATCTCAGTCCCAGGAGATCACAGCTGGAGTTCTTCAGGTTACTGCCTGAGGCCCAACCATCTTCAGGTGCTTCAATAACCTTCGCTCCATTACAAAGGTCAGAAGTGGGGATGTTCACCAACGACTGTACAATGCTCAGCACCATTTGCAATTCCTCAGGTACGGAAGCAGCAAGACATGGACATGAACTTCTCTTGGTCTGATAAACAAGTAACATTTGCACCACACAGGTGCCTACCATGTCAAGCTTCAACTAGAGACAAGCCAATCATTGACATTCAACAGCATCAACATTGCTGAATCACCAACTAAAAGCACACTGGGAGTTACCACTGGCCAAAAGCTCAACTGAACCACCAGCTACAACAGCAAGTTAGAGCCAAGGAATTCTACATCAAGTTACTCACCTCCCACTGCCTCAAAACCTTACTAACGTCTATAAGTCACAACAAGAATAGGATGGAATACTTACCACTTGCTTCCACTTGCAGTTCCAACAATACTGAAGTAGCTAAACACAATCCATGACAAAAGCAGCCCACTTGATTGGCAGCCAACCCACAAATTTGAACATTTATTCCCTTTACCAACCAAACTATAAAATGCACAGCAGAAACACACCAAGATTCTTTTGACATCATCTTCCAAACCTGCAATCTCCACCACTCAGGACAAAGCCAGCATATGCATGGGAGCCCCAATACCCAGAAGTTCCCCTCAAAGCCACATATCATGCTGACTTGGAACAATACCACTGTTCCTTAGTTCACGGTTGCCGGGTCAAAAACCTCCAACTTGCTACCCAACAGCACTGTGGGTATGTTGGATTTCTCTGTCTCAAGGACTGAAGTGATTCAAGAAGGTAACGCAATACCAACTTCCCTGCACAATTAGGAATGGGCAATAAATGCCAGCTTGGCCAGTGACACCTACATTCCATGAATGAATAAAGAAAAATATTAGAAAGGCAGCACTGGGTCTGATGAAAAGCAGAGGGGTTAAGGTAGAGGGTAGATTTTGCTGCAAAGAATATGCAAGACGAGGCCCATCCTATGCACGAGTGACAGAAGACTAGTCATGTTCAGGCGATAAAGACAGGTAAGAGAAAGGCACATGTGAATAAGTCTGGAAGAATACTTGACTGAATTTTTCCATTCATGTATTAGAAGGAATTTACCATGATCATTAAATTTGAGTTACAAAGGTTACAATAATTTGGCAAGAGGAAGAATAGCACACCAGTCATACCATAGCTCAATTGTGCTTGACAAAGTACAGCAGAGATGGAAATGGGAATGGGGAGATTCATACACTGAATTCTGGGTAAGAGGTCACATTTGGAAGTCTGAAATGGGAAAAAAAAAAGTGAGGGGAAAATAATCTTGAAGACATGAGGGATGGTTTAGAAAGGTTGTAATGACAACAGTTTTGAGAAGATGGGGTACAATATCTATCTGAGAAGAGGAATCAATTACAATTATGGTTATCACATGAATCCAGAAAAGAACTTGGGTAGTCAGCAGTTGATTGGGAATGAGGTCAAGGTGAGGTTGATCTTAAGGCGACGAAAAGTCAGATAGGACAAGATAGGAAGACAATTAGAAAAATACATAGGTATGTGCAAGGGCAGTGGGGTCTTGGCTTGGTGGGCAAGGTACAGAGCAGCATTGTGCCTCCTTCCTTTTGTCCATTTCAACTGTTCATGGAGTGGAACTGTAGTTTTAAATTGAAAAATTTAGAGGACCTATTAGCCAAGAGTCTATAATAATCAGTGCATTAACTTCTGATAAAAACCTATGATGAAGGTACACAATGAATTTCAATTTTGTCAAAATACTTCAACGGCACCAAAAGGATGTTGAACCCGACATACTCACTGAGAATTGGAGAATGAATTAACCTTTGCGATGAGGGATAGAACGTCTGACTGCTCTCCATTATGTTTAAAATGGTTTCTTCATCAACTACCGCTTCTTCAGTCTCTGCATTTCCTTGACTCACCCCTTTTTGGGAAGGAAGGAAAATGACTGTAGTCCACTTAAAGATTTATGGGAGATGGCATAAATGGTAACATCACTGATCTAGTGATCCAGAGGCCCAGGTTAATGCCCTGGGCTCATGGATTCAAAACGCACCATAGCAACTGATGGATTACAACTCAATTAACTTATCCAAAATTGAAAGCCAATCTCAGTAATTGGAACCATGTCAACTACCATCAATGTCATAAAAGCCCATCTGGCTCCCTAATCTAAATTTTACTTTAGGCAAGGAAAGCCATTCTTCTTATCCAATTTGGTCTTCAGGACCCACAGCAATATGGCTGACTCTTAAGTGCTCTCTGAAATGGCCGGCACACCACCACCCAATACAAGGGCAATGAGAGATGGGCAATAAATGCTGACCTTGCCAGCAATGTCCACATATCATTAAAGAATAAAAGGTGAACTAATAAATCTATTTTTTATAATAGATTTGTTCTTTGCAATTTCAAACCATTTTTGCACTAAAGATTTGAATTAAGGTAACCTGATTCAAAAACCTTCGATTTCTAAGCTCTTAACATTGTGCAGCTGTGTTGGTTATTATAGGAGGAAAAAACTTGAACAACTTTCAGTTTTCAGTAAGCATTAAAATTTTCCATATTTCCAATAAACTGAAGTTAGTTATTAACTAAGCCTATTCTAAGAGGCAGTGCATATGTTGCAGTCAAGCAATCGCAAAGTCAATATTCAGAAAGCTATCTTACAAAATGTTTAGAATCTCTCCTCCCTAGTTTAGTCATAACCAGACCGGAAAAGGGGAGTCATTTACAGCAACTGTTCAAAATCAAACCCTTAGCGTTAAAATACAGAGAGTGTGAGGACAGAAAGCTTTGTTCTCAAAATGTTTCACGATTTCCCAGCAGCAATAACAAGCATGATTCCCCACTGGTGATGAAAAGAATTTTGTTGTATACAATTTGTGCCATGTGAAGGGGGCAACATTCAAGGAGCAGTGTTCCAAGAAGCTGCTATATTTGAATGGGCCAGAATATTAGTTACATTCAATACTGCATTTGAATAACAGCAAGGTTTATTGTGAGGTTTTCACTGGTCAGTTAGCACGGTTCAAGTGTTACTGAACAGTCAGTTTAGTCAGTTGTACGGAGATAGAAGGTTGTTAGCTCTGGACTGCTAGTCAGTAAGGCACTTAGGAGCTGGAAAAAGCAAATACATCCGAAAAAGGTGCTACTATAGCAGCTTCTGTGCTGTTTGGACTCCAGAGAACTAGGAAGTATAGCTAAGTGTGAGCTTAGGGCTCGGAAAAGCCCAGGGAGCTGTCGGGGCTTAGAGGATGCTATGTGTCATTAGTAGTTCAGTGCAGTTGAGGGTCGGGGTAAAGGAAGCTCACAAGCAGTACTCACTTTGTGCAGCAGGGCAAGTAGGTGTTCACACTGCACAGTTTCTAGAAGCCAAAGGAGCACAGACCCAGGAATGGAAAGTGAACCAACAGAACGTGAGCATTGTCGAGAGAGTGATTGATGGTTTAGCTTTTGAGAGTATTAAAACAAAGATTTTGGAATCTTGTTGTTTTATTTGCTTAGTAAGTAGCTGGGACCTACTTGTCAACTTTAAAAAAAGGTTACTGGTCCCTAGCCAGATCATTACATAATTTTGGCAGTCTGACCTGGGGTTATAACACTATTGACACTATTACTGACATTTTTAAATGTTTTTAAAAATAGGATGTTACCAGCATTTTTAGCCTATCCCTTGAATTGAATGCATGATTAGATCATTTCAGAGGGCAGTTAAGAGTCAACCTCATTGCTGTGGGTCCAGAGTAATGTGGAGGCCAGCGCGGATAAGGAGGGCACATTTCCTTTCCTTAAATGATATTAGTGACATTGTAATGTCTGTGTCTCCTTCAAGGTTCACATTGTGCATGCAGAAAGATCTGCGTGTGCACATTTTGCGAAACGCTTTGTCAGGGAAATACATGGCAGTGCGCAAATAAGCGTAATCAACATAGCAGAATGGATTTAAGTCACTAGCAGTACAGGCAGGTATATGCGCATGTGTGTTTTGTGTGTGAATGGCGTATGCTTGGGAGGTGTGAGCCAGCATTTATTTTTATGATAATTAACAATGGTTATACGATTAACATTAGACTAGTTTTTAATTGCAGAATTTATTTAATTAGTTTATTTCACCATCTGCCACGGTGTCTTGGGATTCAAAAGCATGTCCCAGAACGTTAGCGTGGGGTTCTGGATTATCAGTCCATTGACATTATCATTAGGCAACTGCATCCCTCTAATCTACACTCTTTAATTTGAAAACTACAAAATTTGCTTGCTCGAGTCTGCAATATCAGGTAAATCAAAAAAAATTACAATAAATGGCAGCTCAAAAACAACATTCCTTACTGTTTTCATCGTTGTGTATTTCAACCAGATTGGCAGGTGTACAGGAAAGGCCGTCAGGAGATGATGTATCCATATGCAAGGTCAAATTAGAAGGGAGTGTTTCAAACTCTTCATTCTCCTCCATGGATTGTGATAGAAAACTTGTTTAAAACAGCAAAAGGCACGTTTTTAAAACGTTTATCAAAATAACAGATAAAAGGTATATGTACATACTCAATAAAATGAAATGGGAATCTACTTACACTGAATAGTTATTTTGCCATAGAATCTCCTTTATTCTGCGCTGAAAGATCCTTTCATTCTCTGTAAGATGTACGGATCCACGGTCTACAAATAACAGCACGAAACCCATTATAAGAATGTTTCGCTTTAGGTAACAAAGTGAGTGTCAAATAACTTATACTGGGGATCTGAGCCACTAGATTTTGTACTTGCAACCCAAGTTAAACTACAATGAAAGTACTGCATGGTCTAGATTTAGAGTCTTCAGATATAAAATGGTATTTAGGATACTGCAAAAGAACATTGGATCTATGCAGATCACGTCAGGGAGGCATTACAAATGAAGAAAATCACAAAATCAAATACTTTTTGACATTAAGATTACTCATTTCTCCCTTTCTGTACCATGGGTTTAAGTGTATAACTTCTAACATCGAATATTTCTTCACTTCATTTAGGTTAACATTCGAGCAGCTTTAAGCATTTCTATAACTATTTCGTGTTTACTTTTCACATAGAAAGATCAAGCTATTAGGTGCTTATCCAAAAGAATGCAAAAAAAAAACATGAAATAAGAGAATATTTGAAAAAAGAGGAGATTTGTTTCGCAGAAAAATGACCAAGCCCCTCAACTGTCATGGATGGTAATGGGCACAGTATATTTTTAGTTCTGCCAGGTCTGTGTGTGAATGAAAAGAAAAGTGCTTACAGGAACAAACCTGTTGCATTGAAGTATCAGTTGGGGAGGGAATCTAGAACTTGCAGTTGACTGTTTTATGTTTTCGAGACACAATATCCACTATATGTATAGGAAATCCAAGCAAACTAGTCCATGCTGGCATTTATATTCCATTTGAGCCTCCTCCCATTTTTCCAGATTTAACAGTCAACCAGAATTCCATTGGCTCTTGCACACTGATCTAGCCTCTCGTTACACATTTCTACATTAATCATCTCAACAACTTTCTACAGTAGGGATCTATCACTTCACCACTCTCTCCTGAAGCCTGTTATTTGGGACTATCCTTAAAATAGGTTTTTCTTCCAAGTGACTGCATTAACTTAGTCTGGGTCATCGATGCTCAGTCAATGGAACTTTATTATTCATCAGGTCATAACAAAGTTTCTCTATTCAAGAGTGTAAGCAGAAGTTCCAATATTGATGCAGAAAGGTGCAAAACTTCAAATTTGATAGACTCCACAGGAAGTTGGCCTACAATCCTTCACAGGATCCAAATTCCAGCACTACAAGACCTGAAGGCCTTTCAACATAAACCAAGACACCCTTTTTATCAGGGAATACATACAAAAATTGAAAAGCAATGTTTGTGACCAGTGTGGAATGAAACATCTTAGAAGGAAGAAAATAAAAGTAAAAGATTTAGCTCATAATTTCAAGGAAAAATTCAGCTTTCAAAACAGAGAAATGTTTCTCCAGACTATTAAGTTGGAGCCTCACTTGTCAATTGTTTAAATCTCGATAACTATAAACATTCTATAGCTTGGTTTCCTAATTTATTTAAGAATGATTAACAGCTCAGTGCATCAATAACCTTTGAACTGATCGTGGTATTTCCAGTCTTTTTAATAGGTACAGACGATTTCAACTTTCACCTTAAGAAATTTAAAATGGAGAAAAAAAATTCAGGTTTTAGTTCATTTGCCAAGAGGGGAATTTTCTAACAGAAATGGTGTTAACTTTTAAGCAGGAATGTTAACTAGCTATATGCTATTGCTACCAATTTATATACCAGTTGGATGCAATACTATCCAAGTCAAATTTTACCCTGGGATCCACAAGCAGTCAAGAAGGATCAATTCCAAACAACAGAAGACTCAGGTCTGTGCTCAAAAGCCTGCCCAAAGATAATTCACCTCAACTTGGTATAACCCAAATATATCAGCTTCCTAACCCGGGCCTAGATGGAAAGACTGCTTCCCTGGGAACAGCTGAATGATGATACAGGTAGTGTCCTGGGACTGGAAAGGTGTAATTAATGTTAACAGGAGAAGGTCACACCATTACTGTGAAGTAATATTGCTACACTGAGATCATGCTAGGGGATCTAAAGTTCAAGCTGGCTGCAACATGGGCTGTAAAAAGCTTTGGCCAATAAAAAGGAAGACTAACACAACAGCCAGTGCTTTCAAGAAGATGATATCAATGTATTATGTAAACCTCTTGCCAAAATCCTCTATTTATTTAGAGAAACCTTCAACCGAGTTGGAATACTTTCAGTAGACTACTCATACCACATCATGAACAGGAAAGAAGGTTGACCATTTCTACATTTGACTATTCTAATGCACACTGGAAAAGCTCTTATCATCCACCCTCTGCAAACCTGAGGTTATCTTAGACTCTGCTGGCTATGCCCTAACCTACAACAAGTCTGGCTCATCCACTACCTTTGTATTCTTTGACTGATTCTGGTTCCCATTCACACAGTGCCTTGATGTTCAATTTTAATCATGTTCCCAAGTTTTTCAATGTCCTTGCCCTTATCTCTAACTTCTTTCATGTATAAACCTCATCAGTACCTCTCTAATTCTGATCACGTGTGCATTCGATTTTAATTGTTCGACTGATGGTTAGCTTCTCAGCTGCCTGCCAGCTGTACAATTTATTCCCAAATCACTGCATTAACTTCTCTTTGCTTCATTAAGGTGTGCCTAAGAACCAACCTCTCTTGTAGGGTTTGTTAACTTTCCAGGGTTGTCCTCGAATATTTAGGAATTAATATTTAACCTCCTGGACACTGATGTGATGAAAACCCAGGAGATAAGCTATTTTTAAAAATTGTGGATCCTTTCAGTTTCTTTGAGCAATATAGTTTATTAGTTGTAAAAATAGAGATGAAAGAAGAAAGGTTTTGGACTGGGCAGGATGTTTGCTGGTGGGATGTCTGTGATGAAACCTCCAGGAAGGTATCCAAGCAGACTTGGCAATCTTACTCTTTCCACCAAAGCTTTTTGTCATTCTCCGAAATATCACCTCATGTGACTGTGTCAACTTTTAGTTTGATAATGTTCCTGTGAAGTTTTTTGACTGTTTTACTCTGTCACAGGCAATTTATTTATGCAAGTTGATGTATCAACTCATTCAGAAAGTACGGGAGGAAATCAGGTCTAGTGGCATCTGTAAAGCAGTGATTCTTCATCAGATTGTTACCTTCCATTGGTGTTTCAGACTTCCAGAATCTTCAGTTCTTTGTTTTTATTGTAACAACTCATTACTGTGCTCGAGTTATTGTTCATGATGAGAATTGTTAATAAACTGACTTTCAGGGAAATCAGATGCTCATCTTAAATCATAAGATCTTGATTCCTCACTAGTCATTCCATGCTAGCTGATCTACACAACTTATTTTTCCAGTGACAACCCAACTCCTCTTTTCTGCAGCAACACAGGCAGAAGAGTTCAGAGGGAGAAGTGACAGGTTTGGACATGGACGAGATACATTTATGTTCTTACGTTTTTGGGGTTTGCTCGTTATTTATATTAGAGATTGATTTACAGAGTACCCATGTGATTACCTTATTCTGACATTTAGAGTCATACTCATATGGCACGGAAACTAGTCCACACTGACCATGTTCCCAAACTAAACTGATCACACCTGCGTACAGTTTGGCCCATACCCCTCCTTTCCTATTCATGTACTTATCCAAATGTCTTTTGAACATTGTAACTGCACATGCATCTACCACTTGGTCTGACAGTTCATTCCAGACACTAACTATTCTGTAAAAAAAGTTGCCCCTCATGTCCTTTCTAACTCTCTCCCTTCTCACCTTATAAACATGCCCCCTAGTTTTGAACTCCCCCAGCTTAGGGAAAAGACCTTTGCTATTCACCTTATCTATACCCCACTTTGTAATCTTAGATAACCTTCTTCATTGTCCACCAAACCACCAATTTTGGTGTCATCCCCAAACTTACTAACGATGTGTCCTGTATTCTCATTCAAATCACTTATACCAATGACAAACAAAAGTGGACCCAGTACCAATCCCTGTGGAACACTGTGGTTGCAGGCATCTAGTCTTCAAAACAACCCTCCACCTCCACCCTCTGTCTCCCACCGTGCAGCCAATTTTGTATCCAATTAGCAAGCTACCTTGTGGAATCTTATCAAAAGCTTTACTGAAATCCAAGTAAACAACATTTACCGCTCTGCCCTCAATCTTTTTGGTTACTTCCTCAAAATACTCAGAGTCTGAGACACACAATTTCCCTCGCACAAAATGATGCTATCCCTAATCATTCCCTGCCTCTCCAAATGCAATTAAATCACCACTAACAATTTATCCACCATTATCAGACTCCCAGGTCTATAGTTCCCAGGTTTCTACTTACAGCCTTTCTTAAATAAAAGGCACATCAGCCACCCTCCAGTCCTCCAGCATCTCACTTGTGGTTATAGATTATATAAATATTTCTGATTTGGGCCCTGCAATTTCCTCCCTAACCTCCCACAACATCCTGGGATACACTTGATCGGGTCCTGGAGATTTATCCACCTTTATATTTTCTAAGGCCTCCAGCATTTCTCTTCTGTAACATGAACTGTTTTCAAAACATCAAAATATTTATTTTGAATTCTCTAGCCTCTATTTCTTTCTCCACGTAACAACTGATGTGAATTTTCACTTAAATATTCATTTAATAGCTCTGCCATCTCCTGAAGTTCAAAACAAAAATAACCTCATTGATCTTTAAAAATTCTCACTAGTTGGTCTTTTGCTCATAATGTACTTGTAGAACCTCTATAGATTATCCTTAACCTCATCTACCAAGACGCTCTCATATCCTCTCCTTGGCTTCCTGACTTCCCTCTCAAAAGCACCCCGACACTCTTTATACTCTTCAAGAGACTTATTTGAACCCAGTTGTCTATATCTAATATATGATTCATTTTTATTCTTGACTAGAACCTCAACATCTTTATTTATCCATTGTTCCCTAATCATACCAGCCTTACCTTTCACTCTAACAGGAACATTATGCCTCTGAACTCTCATTATCATATTTTTGAAAGGGTCCCACTTGTCATTTGTCCCTTATCCTGCAAAGGGTCTACTCTAAATCAACTTTTGAAAGTTTTTGTTTCATACTATTAAAATTTGCCTTACTCCAAGTAAGAACTTTAACTTTAATGGAAGGCTTATCTTTTTCCATAGCTATTTTAAAACTAATAGATTTCTAGTCTCAGTCATTTGCCTTGTTTCCCAACAGAAAGTCAAGTTTTTCTCCTTCTCTAGTAGGAACATATAAATGTTAAGAAAATTTTCTTGAACACATTTAACAAATTCCTCACCATCCACACCTTTATATATCAATACAAGTTAAAGAAAGTTGTACTATTGTAAGACATTGCAATTACCTTGTGAATCAGGTGACTCAATCTGAGAGGACATATTGTTCTCACGACGGCGCTGTTTCTCATCGTCCCAGATGGCCTGCAATCCAGGGTTTCTGCCAATCTGAGCTAAAATAAAAAATAAAAAGAAAAATGGTCAACACTCCTGTTCCAAAGCCACCAGCTGGACCCCAGTTCTAAAATTACAACAGATGCTTGGTTCAAATTGAAACATGTATGTATTCAACTTAAGAATTAAATAAAGCACTTGAAATCCTTAACGTGACACATTACTGACAACATGGAAAATTGGCCAAGTATGTCCTGCCCACAAAATGCAGGACAAATTCAAACATGATTTCCACCCCATCAGTCTACTCTCAAAGAGATGAGCGGATTGACGACAGCATTGTTAAGCAGTACTTGCAAATGAATAATCTGTTCACTGGCGCGCAGTTTGGGTTCGGTCAGAGTCACTTAGCCCTTGACTGAGAGTTCAGCTTCAGAGGGGCTGATTTTGACATCAAGGCAACATTTGACCAAGTACAGCATCAAGAAGCCATAGCAAAACTGGAGTCAGTGGGAAACAGGGGCAAAACTCTCGACTGGTTGCTGTCATATTTAGAACAAAAGGGAGATGATTGTTGTGATTGAAGGATTGAAGGTCAGTCCCAGACATCACTGCTGGAGTTCCTCAGGTAGGCCAAACATTTTCAGGAGCTTCATCAATAACATTATCTCCAAGATGAAGTCAGGTTGTTGAAGTTGTTCACTAATGATTGCACAATGTTTAGCACCATTTGCAAATTCTCAGATACTGAAACAGTCAAGTCCATATGCAGCAAGACCTAGTCAAATGTCCAGCCCAGAACATTACGCTGTTCTCTGGATTAACAGTCCAGCGATAATACCACTCGGCTGTTGCCTCCAATTAGACCAGCCATATACAAACTACAGCTAAGAAAGCTGATCAGAAACTGGAAATTCTGTGGTAACTTACCTGTCCACATTCTATAAGACAGGTCAGTTATGTGATGGAATTCTGTCCACTTGCATCTACAAAATACATTGCAGCAACACAACAAGGCTGGTGGATTTGGTGGGATGGTCTTCAGAGGGTTGATGCAGACTCAATGGGCCGAATAGCTTTTCTCTGCATTGCAGGGATTCTACAATTCCGTGATTCTAAATGCTGGCCTAGCCAATGACTCTCACACATCACACATAAACAGCTGGAGAGTAGCCTAGAAGAATGCTAGAAAGTGTACTAACATTAGTCTCAGAATTTTAAAAAATACCTTCGACTTCTGAACGATTTAATATATCAGCTGCAACGGCATCCACTTCAAGCTCACAAGTGCTCTGCCGATCAATATCCTGAAGAACTAAAGAACTGCAACATAACAAAAAGTTATTAACGCTTTGCAAAAATTAGAATATTTCAATGTTTATTCAATAAAACTATATCAATCTTATACTCTGGAATTATTGAAAGCTGTATCTTTAAACAGAAACAGCTACAAATCACAGTATACAGACATGTAGAAATCCAGTGTGGAGTCACAGCATGGAACTAGATAACTTGGACAAAACTTGGTGTATTTCAAACGCAATATTAGAATAGTCAAAATTACAAGGAAAGCTCTAGTTAAAACTGACTAATGTCCTGTAAAAATATCAGTGGAAATAGGCTTTCGATGAGTACAGTTTCATAGCAACTATTTCCAATTTCCCCGAGCTTTAGAAACAGGACGGAAAAAGATAGCAGGAACGTCATAACCAGGCCAACACGAAATATGATGCAACATAAAAACATTGACCAGAACAGTATAACGGTGTTCATACTGAACATACAAATTTCATCAACCCTAGATCAGGAAGAAGTTATTTTTCCACCAAGCGCTCTGTTGATTTGATTTTAAATTTTGCAACTAGCTTGGTGCTTTTTTAAAAATATGACAGGTTTTCCCTTATCACTGTATATATCCTTCAGTCCAAGTCTCTTACAGGCACTGTTAACATATAATCACTAGTTCTGCTCAAGTTACTGAGCATATCTGAACGGGGTGGGGGGGAAGAGAAATGGTGAAAAATCAAATAATAAGAACAATTAGGAACAGTACTTCTCATCCCTAGATGCTTTTAGGTACTCCAAACCATACATGCCCTAATAACAATTGGATAGGAATCTTTTCAAATATCCATTCTTTCTTGGGTGCTGAATAATTCACCCGATGTCATTAAATTGGGTGCTGTTCCACATTCTGCCTCAAATACCACTTTCTATATTCTGCAATTGTGTCAAATTGTAAACTCTATCCAGTCAAATGCTGGATCACCATTTGCCTACCAATCTTCAGTGCATTAAAAACCAAAATCAAAACAAGCGAAAAAGAATGAATGAATGAACGAACAATGGTTATATTGAGTTCCATAGTCAGCAATTAGACAAGTTTTTTGTGGCAGTAAACATGACTCCAGGATGATTGGCGCCTCCAATCTGGCAGGGTCAAACATACTGGAGAACTGGTGTAAGAGGGAGGAGTTTTGAGAAATTGGGACCAGTCCTGGGGAAGGTGGGACCTATACAAAGATGGGTTACACTTAACGAAACTGCAACCAATACCTTTGCAGGGAGATTTGCATTTGGTGCAAATTTAAACTAGTTTGTCAGGAGGGTAGGAACCTGAAGGGTAACCCAAATTGGAAGAAACCAAAAGTTGGTAACGGAAAGCCAAAAAGATGCTAGTGAGATGAGTAGAAAGGAGAAACAGAAGAGTATTGACTATGCTTCAAAAGAGAAATGATGCCAAAAAGACAAATTTAAGGGCCCTCCACCTGAACGCACACAACATTCACAACAAAGATGTGTGACCTCAAAGCACAAATAGGGATACATAGCTATTACAGAAACACGGCTGTATGGTGACCAGGATTAGAAACTGAACGAGGAAGGACAGAGAAAAAAAGCGAGGAGAAAGAGGTGAAGTTGTTCTGATAATAAAGGATGGGATCAGCACTTCAGTAAGGGAAGATCTTAGATCAGAAGAACAATGTGTGGAATCTGTTTGGATGGAACTTGAAACAGCAAAAGATGGTCTTATAGGCCAAAGAGTGGTGGGTGTGGGGGGATCTGGTATCAATCAGGTGAGAGAAGCATGTGGCATGAACACCACATTTACCATAGAGGATTTCAATCTGCACGAAGACTAGATAAACCAACTGAACATTAAAGCAATGGAGGACAAACTTCTGGAGTATTACAAATTTCTTTTTATAGCAATATATTAAGAAGCTAACTTGAGGATATGCCATTTTAGATCCAGTATGACATAATGAAAAAGGGTTAATCAACAAACTTATTGAAAAGGAATGCTCAGGGATGAGTGGCCACAATGCAATAGAATTTTACATTATGTTTGAAACTGAGGTAGTTCAATCTCAAGCAAGGATGTTAAATGTGAAAAGGAAATTATGAAGGCATGAGGCACAAATTAGCTGACGTTGACTGAGAAAATACGTTAAAAAGGCGTGACTGCACAGAGATAATGGACAGTCTTTAAAGACTTATTGCATGACTTACAACAATACATTTCAAGATGCAAAAACACAAAAAAAAACAAACAAGGGCAGGACTTATACAATTAACGCCTTCATTGCTCAGAACTTTGAGTATAGGAGTTGGGACATCATGTTGAAGTTGTACAGGACATTGGTGAGACCTCTTCTGGAATATTGTGAACAGTTCTGGTTGTCTCGAAGGATATTATTAAATTGGAGAGGGTTCAGAAAAAATTTACCAGGATGTTGCCAGAAATAGGGGGTTTGAGTTATAAAAATAGACTGAATAGGCTGAGACTTTTTTTCACTGGAAATAGGTACTGGTTGAGGGGTGACTTTATAGAGGTTTATAAAATAATGAGGAGAATAGATAAGGTGAATAGCAAGGGTCTTTTCCGTAGAGTGGGTGAGCTCAAAGCTCGTGGGCATATTTTTAAGGTGAGAGGAGGAAGCTTTTAAAAGGACACGAGGGACAACTTTTTTTTTTTTGAAAAGCACAAAGTGGTTCATGTGTGGAATGAACTGCCAGAGCAAGTATTGAATGTAGGTACAGTTACAACATTTAAAAGAGATTTGAATAAATACATGAATAGGAAAGATTTGGAGGGATATGGGGCAAATGCAGGCAAGTAGGAGTAGTCTAGCTTGGGAGCTTTGGCAGCATGGAATAGTCAGACTGAAGGGTCTGTTTCCATGCTGTATTCATTACAGTGTGGATATATATTAATGTTTTAATGTCAAATTAATGTCAAACAAATATATATTAATGATTTGGATGAAGAAACAAATTGTAATATCTCAGTTTGCAGATGATACCAAATTGGGTGGGCAATTGAACTGTGACAAGGATGCAGAGATTCTTCAGCATGATCTGGCCAGGTTGGGTAAGTGGGCAAATCAATGGCAGATGCAGTATAATTTGGATACATGCGAGGTTATTCACTTTAAAAGCAAAATACAGAAGGCAGATGACTACCTGAATGGCTACAAATTAGGAGAGGGGAGTGTGCAGCAGGACCTGGCCGCCCTTGTGCACCAGTCGCTGAAGGTAAGCATGCAGGTACAGCAGGCGGTAAAGAAAGCAAACAGTATGTTGGCCTTCATTGTGAGAGGTTGAGTACAGGAGCAGGGATGTGTTGTTGCAGTTATACAGGGCCTTGGTGAGGCGACACGTAGAATACTGTGTGTAGTTTAGGTCTCCTTTCTGAGGAAGAATGCTCTTGCTCTCAAGAGAGCACAACAAAGGTTTATCAGGCTGATGCTGGGGATGGTGGGACCGACATACGAGGAGGGATTGACTAGGTTAGGACTATTTTTCACTGGAGTTCGCACGAATGAGGCCGAGGGGGGAAATCTCGTAGAGACTTATAAAATTCTAACAGGACTAAACAGGGTGGATGCAGGGAGGATATTCCTGATGGTAGGTGTGTCCAGAACCAGAGGTCACAGTACGAGGATTTGGGGTAGACCATTTAGGATGGAGATCAGGAGACATTTCTTCACCCAAAGAGTGGTGAGCCTGTGGAATTCATTACCACAGGAAGTAGGTAATGCCAAAACATTGAATGTATTCAAAAGGTGGCCAGGTATAGCACTTGGGGCACATGGGATCCAAGGTTATAAGGAGAAAGCAGGATGAAGCTATTGAGAGAGTTAGACATTCAACAATAATCGTGATGAATGGTGGAGCAGGCTCAAAAGGGCCGGATGATCTCCTCCTCCTATTTTTTAAGTTTCTACATTTCTATGCAGATGGAATATAATGTGGAAAAATGAGAGGTTATCCACTTTGGTAGGAGGAGCAGATGTGTAGAGTATTTCTTAAATGTAAACAGATTGGAAAGCGTAGACGTACAAGACCCGGGTGTCTGGTCAATGAATCACTGAAGACAATCATGAAGGTGTGGCAAGCTATTCGGGAGGCTAATGGAACGTTCATCTTTTTGCAAAAGGATCTGAGTAGAGGAGTAGTGAAGTCTTGTATTAATTGTACAGGAGCTTGGTTAGGTTGCGCCTGGAATACTGTGCAGTTATAGTCTCTATCTCAGGAAAGATATTATTACCATAGAGAGAGTATAATGAAGATTCATCAGATTTCCTCCTGGGAAGGCTGGACTGTCCTATGAAGTGAGAATGGGAAAACCAGAGGTGGTGATCTCATTGAAACTTACAAAATACTAAAAGGAATAGACAGGCTAGTTGGAGGTATTACTCCTAGTTAGGGAATCTAGGGCCAAGGGCCACGGGCCACAACTTAAAAATAATGGGATGCCACTTAGGGTTGAGACAAGTAGGAATAACTTTTATTTAGAGGGTTGAAAATATTTGGAATTCTTTACCTCAGAGTGTGTAGAAACTCAGTCTACGAGTACATTTATGGTAATCAAAAATCTACCATCTCTACCAATGACATACAGGGTTTATGGGGATACGGTGTGTAAAAGGCATCCATAATCCACAGTTATAGTGAATGGCTGATCAGGCTCTGGGGGCTGAATGACCTACTCCTGTTGATATGTTCCCATAAACTGTAGATTGTTGTATTGACAAAATTCCTGATCAAGTTGCTTACTGACAAAATTTTACGGATCTCCCACTGCTGGCTTGGTATAGCAACTCAACTAAATGTTTAGCAATCAGTTTCTGAGCACAGACTGAAGAAAAAAAGTTATAGATTACAGAAGATAATTTTCTTGAAATAAAAGAGAGTTAGATCTTGAACAGTATCCTCCAAAGTGACAAAAAGTCAAACGCCAAACAGTTCTTGGTTAAATTGCATCAGTAAAATGTCTTTAGCATAGCAAAGAAACTTATGGTTTCATTTAAAAGAAAATCTGGGTACAAATAGAAGGACTGGAATAGAAGTGCCATTAAAGAATTAGAAAAATTGGATAGGTGCTCAAAGACATGAAACATACCATTGTAAGAACTAGGTATTAAAACATGAGGAGAAATTAAAATGAGAGCAGAAACGCAAGAGAACTTTTGCATACAGGGCCACGATGGCTGAAAGCACTGGCATTTAAACATTGAGCAACGAGAAAAGTAGGCCTGTGCAGAGAATGGAAGAGTGAAAAGTGGAAGCACGGAGTCAGAACAACAGCTACGGATAGCTGGACAATGCTATGGATGGGTTTGTAGAATGGAAAAATAAATAAAATAAATTGGGGAGTGGGAAGCGAGTGGAAGTCACAGCAACAGACCTAATTAGTTCCCACTACTAATACCATTTATTTTATGTAGCTGAATTTGAATTTTCCAGTGGGTATGTTAAGATTTGATCTCATGTCTGGATTATTAGACCAGTAACAAAACCACTATGCTACCATGCCCAGATTTAAATAGATAAATAACATTTCATCCATGTACAGGCCAATACTGGAATTGGAATACGGACAAATCTAAAACTGAAAGTCAAGTACGAATTTAAAAAGTGAAAATCAAAAGTATTTTTAGTTCCTAGATAACCTTGGTAAGTCATCTTCCTCCCATCTTACAAAGGAGCACGTAAACGACTTCTCTGTTGGTGCTGGTGATTCCTTCGACTTGGTCGAGATGGGGCTTTTCTGTGGCTTTTCATTCTCTTTGCTATTGGTGCTGCTCAATTCTAAACCAGTTTGTTCAGGAAGGTATTTTCCAAGTTGATCACCTGTGGTTAGAAACCAAATCTCTTTGAACTTGACACATGATAACCAAATGCAAGTCATGAAACAGCAAAAATCAGGCCCATCTTCTCTCTCGTTGGTACAAATCACTCTGGTATGTCCTATTACACAATCTCTTGTTTGAGACTGAGCCATAGTAGCTTTCTCCTCCAAGGACTTGCCTCTGAGAAGAACAGAGCCATAAGCTGCTTGTTAATTATGATTCACTTGTATTTTGTCATAAACAGAGGGATATCACTAATTGGGGTCACATCTCAGTACCTATAAAGGGACAGAAAGTTTAGTATGCTCTTGTTAGGAGGTATATACCTGTAATGTTTCAGTCTAAGTAAATGTCAGGTTGGCATCAGTACTATCCTTCACCAACTGACTTTCCATTCTTGTAGAGTAGTCAGGAAAGTGGAGTACAGAATATAGATAAATTGGCTGGCATAAAGTTTGATGTACAGATTAAATATTAACTGATTGACAGGTCATCATAAAATGAGGTATTAGGCAATTTCAAAATTGCTCAAAAACTGCTTCAAAGAGAACTATAATACAACCAAGACAACAAGGTGCAGAGCTGGATGAACACAGCAGGCCAAGCAGCATCATAGAAGCAGAAAGGCT